GATTGTTAAAATGCTTGTTTTCCTCTGTTTTTTAAAAGTGAAGAGCTCTAAGGACATAATACAGGTTAAGTCCATGGTCTATTAAATTAATGTTGATGTTGTCATCCATAGGAGGTAACCACCATTTTTGAATATTCAAGCCCATGGCATTTTAGATTAAGCTACTTATTATTATTTTTTTTTTTCCGATGAAACAAAAGTATTTTCATTTAGGTAACAGTATCTGAAGAAAAAAATAACATCTTTAGTATAAGTGCAGCCCTACCTGTCTTTTGTAGGTTTCTAATTGGGCACGGGCTGCATTGGCTTTCCTTAGTTCATCTTCCAAACTGACTGTATTGTGCATGTACATCATGTTAGTTTCCTGCAGAGATTTGACTTGTCTTCGGAAGTCATTCAGATCCTGCAGCTTTTTACGATACACTTCAACAGTTGATTCCAGCTTACTTGCTTTGTCTGCAGTAGCTCTTAAAGGATAAACAGGAATTAGAAGACAGACTGTTCTTTCAAAGATTAAATAAATCAGATTCTTCTTACATGCACATTCAAGCTATTTTCAAAGGAAGATACAACATACTTCAGAGCAGAGTTAAATCGTGCAGCTCTGTTTTTAACTGCAAACTTGCCCTTATATGCAAAGATTGTTGATAAAAAGTGAAATCACCACAGGGCTTATGTTAGACTAAGTCGATCATGTGCCAGAAGTATGAGCAGAGGTTAGTGTATCAAATATCTCTATGGAATTCTGCAGTGTAACTTAAATACACCACAACATCCTGTGCTGCATAGTTACCTCAAAGTTCTGGTAAGTGGAAAGGACAAAAAAATGCAGATATCCTCATTAGAGGGATACCATGAGAACAACCATTAGCAGATATGATTAAGGATTGCCAGCTGACCATTCACAAAATTTAATATCTGTCTCATGTCACTAGAAGCTAGTGCAAGAGAAAATCTATTATTAAGATGTTATTATTTCTGATGTTATTTAAGAACCACTATAATGTAAACACCTGAAATCATTTTTTTTCTATGTTTTATTCATATTATGGCCACTGATCCTGGCATTAGAAAAAACTAAGCATGGACTTTTTCCTGTGGTGATGTGGCATTCCCCAGTTTTCCCTTCTCTTTGTTGGGATAAAAATACTGCAAGAGAGACTTGAGATAACACTTGAGGGTAAGCACCAAACCATAGGGGAAGGCTGATACATTGTTTTGTGATGCTGCTGCCCTGCTGTTGCTCTTTCTCTTGGTAACTTCTTTCTGCATCAGTATGTTAAGAGGATTTGCTGGCCAATTCAAATATCTGATGTAACATGGCAACTAAGCAAGTAGGACCGATGGCTGGACCAGACTCCAGAAGTGACTGCTGCTTCGTCTGCTTCGACACTCAGCTGGATGTGGAGGGCTGGGAAATACTAAGGGTACCCCCAACATTTATATGCTTGCACTTGTAAGCCAGATAAGTGATGTTTATAGTAGGCCTTTATGACATTACAGTTGACATAGTGGTTGAACCCGATTATCTTGAAGGTTCTTCCAACCTAAATGCTTCTATGATTCTCTATTTTATAAATAGCAGTATCAAGTAGTGAACCTAAATCTAGCCTAGAATTCAGATACGAAAAGTTATGTTAAAGTTCTAGCTGCACGTGTGCTCTCCTACATCAGAAAAGGCAGGCTCTTGCCAACACGAATGTCCCCCTTTCGTAAAATACACATATATATCCCTACAAAAATATCTTAATTCTTCCAGAGCTTAAGCTTCCTTTCATCACACATGAACAGCAATTTCTGTCTTCATTTAATCTTTCCTTACAGAAGAACTCTATGTTGTTGTTCTTATACAAACAAGAGAAGCTATGCATGTAAGCTTGCTCTTCATTTCAGCTTTAATTAAGAGCCCTTTTGTAACATGCACCTTGTATCTTGTTTAGGCAGGACTTACCCACAGATAGAAAAATTCTTAAGAAATACAGAGCTTTGAGTTTAGTCATTAAATCCTACTAATGCGGAGCAGAATTATATACCTAAGAATGTCATTTTCATCTTTCAAGGCTCTAGATTCTTCAGCCAAAGAGGTTAGTTCGTTGTTTCTATGTTGTAGTTCAATCAATTGTTTTTCTAGATCTTCGCAATGGACACGATAATCATCTTTGGCAGCTTCAAGCCTATCACAACAAAAACAGGAAGTCTGTTAAGAATATATTCATCACACATTTTGCTTATAATGTTCCACTTAGTACTACAACTATTAAAAATAATTTTTTAAAAAGGAAACCTATTGATTTAAGAAGCCAAAAAATGGTACAGTAAGTACAAAGCATTTTAATGTCTATTTTTTAACCCACAATGGATTATATTACATATTCTAGATTATATTTATTATTATTTCAGGGAACCATATGAAAAAATGTTTTTTTTTTTTTTTTTTACATATGGATCACGAAGACTAATGTGTGAAAGGACCATAAAATAGCAATTACAAAATAACAACTTGTTTTTCTTATTAAGGTTGAGGACTGCCTTTAAAATAGATTAATACAGTAGTATTAATCTATACTGTGTGAAGTGCTACTGAATTTTAGAAAAAGAAATTAAGATGGAAAATCCTGAAAGACTACCAGAAATTCTCAGGATGTATTTGACATGACAAGAAAGGCTTTTTTGAAAGAAAAATAAAATGGTTTCATACCTGAAGTTTTCTTCCTGCAGTTGTTCTAGCTGCAACTGTGCATGAAAATACTTTTTTGCTACCACGGTATTTGGATCATCAAGAGAGTCATCTAATTGCTCCAGCCTGTCATTCAGAATCTCATTTTCTGACACCAAGCTGTTCTTTTCATCCTGAAGGGCAGCCACCTAGTACAGATAAAACACCATCAACATTATAAGACCTGTCCAATTGGAAATAACTAGAGCAAGACAGCAGCACGTCACCAAATTAGTTTATGAGAAAGGCTGAGTGTTTAGAAACTTTAGAATGTAATATACATAGCATACAGATGTTTAGTGTTTGAAAGTTGTGAAGCACTAAAGGAAAAGTATCTCTAAAAAAAGAAACTTTTGTAACTGAAACCATGGAAAAGGCGTACGATGCGATATGGAGAGAAACTGGTTTTCAGTAGGAAAGATACAATGGGTACCATACAAAAACTGTTGTAAAGGTACTCTCCATCTTGCTTGTCCTTAACAATAAAAGCAGGATGGCACTGGCTAGCACACTAACACAGTACTGCCGTGCGCTCAGCAGTGAACGGCTGCGCAAGAAGCGGTTCCAAGCGCCAGAAGCTGGTAAGCACACACGCAAAAGAAAAAACCTAGACTGCTTCAGATAGAGCATGCATTTTTTGCAACAATCAAACAAGTTCGAAACTGAGTGTTCACAGCTAAGCAAATGAGAGTACAACACTGTACTGAAACAGTAGGTATATTAACAGCCATAAAATGGGGGAGGATTAAGAGGGTAGAACTTTTAGAAGTTTTTCTAGTGAAAACTACTGTGTTAATTTTAACATCCTGTCAAACATAAGAGCATGTAGCACATGTTAGTTAACTGGCATTTAAACAGGGACAATATGCTTTGTGGGTTATGCTTTCCTGAATCATAAAGAAAACCTACCTTTCTTATATTCTTGGAATATATCAAGGAAGATTGAGACCTTACAAGTGAATTTATTAAGAATTAGTTTAAATGAGAAGTGTCAATCATTATTATGGCTTCAATAAATAAGTTAAAAAAGCATATCATGGTGACATTATTAGATAAAACATCAGATACATATAATCTAAACAATGCAACATTAAGAAACAGCACGTTTGTGATTGTAATTTAAAGATTTATGAAACAGATCTAATAAACAAAACTGTATTTCCTGCAGCACTTCATTAGATGCTGGCTTTCTAGGTCCAGCCCTTTTGAAGTACCGGATAACAACTTACTGTATTCCTGCATGCAGAAATATCTGTGGGTAAATAGCCTATCAGCCTTACTCAGTGTAATACTTCCTGTCCAAGGTTCAGCCACTCCTTAGATCACAGAATGGCCTGGGTTGAAAAGGACCACAATGATCATCTAGTTTCACCTCCCCTGCTATGTGCAGGGTCGCCAACCAGCAGCCCAGGCTGCCCAGAGCCACATCCAGCCCGGCCTTGAATGCCTCCAGGGATGGGGCATCCACAACCTCCTTGGGCAACCTGTTCCAGTGCCTCACCACCCTCTGGGTGAAAAACTTCCTCCTAATATCTAACCTAAACCTCCCCTGTCTCAGTTTAAAACCATTCCCCCTTGTCCTATCACTATTCACCCTCATAAACAGTTGTATTCCCTCCTGTTTATACACTCCCTTCAATTATTGAAAGGTCACAATGAAGTTTCCCTGGAGCCTTCTCTTCCCCAAGCTAAACAAGCCCAGTTCCCTCGACCTTTCTTCATCTCTAGAAGTGAGAACTTCTGAATAGTAAATATAATGCTTTTCAAAGTTTAACAACTGTAATCTGCAAGTTCAACTGTCAGAGCAATTCTCTGGCACGTTTAAAAGAAATTGTTTTCTCCTTCAGGGTTCTATTCACAAGAACTTTTATCTCTCTGCTTTTACCAAGAAGGCTTACTATTAATTAATATTTTATGTCTCCAAGAAGATCATCTTACGTATCTACAGTTAGTAACCAGAACTCCCTTTCTATGCAGACACAACTATTTCAGTCATTACTGTCTGTAGGAATTTAAAATTGGTCTCTGGAGTTATTTATTACTAAGGCTCATACAGCCAGTACAGCACTCTGGCTCCTACAAGAAGATGCCCACACAAATGTTTGCTTTGTACAGGATCAAATATGAGGTGAGCTGCTTTATCACATAAGCCTCTTTCTATTCTCATAAAGAAATCAGACTTAGGGCTATAGCACTTTTCTAATTTTCTTTAGGAAAAAAAAAAAAAATCAAGTTCTCACTTATTTCTGTGAAGTTAACACTCATTTCTCAAAAGAGACTCAGTTAACTGCTATTACCACTAAAAACAGAGGTACATGTATTATCTTTGCTGTTAAGCAAGGGGCTAAGCAAGCAATTAGATTCTTATTATTTCTATTTCTCAAAGTATTCTCCATGATCAAACTGTGTATAAGGAAGCTCAAATTTTTAGATAAATTTTACAATCTTTTATCAACTGCTTTTGAAAACAGCATAATTTTCCTTTGATTAAATCCAATGACTGATTAGTAAATGAATGGCATTTCTTTTTAATATAAAGTTCAAAGGACTAACAGCAGCAGTGACTAAAAGCCATGGCATTTTCGTTTTGATGGCTGTTTGCTACTGGAGGCGAACATAAAGGTAACAATGAAGCAATCTCTGGGTTAAGAGCTGACACAAAACCTCAGCTTACATTTCCATCAGGAAAGTCATTGTATTAGAGTGCAGAGAATGGTTGCTACCCCCTCCAAGAAAACACAACTAAGAAATCTCATTAAAAGTTAAATGAATACAAAATTCAGTTTGACTTTCCTAATTTCTGCATCTTAACAACACCACTACTACATAATAAAGAAATAAGCTGCTTACTGTTTCTTACCTGTAAATCTAGCTCTTGACATCTTTGTGCCAACTCTTCTTTTTCTGCTATTGCTTCTTGAAGATCCTCCAAAGCTTTTTTAAGCTTTTAAAGAACAAAGACAGTCAAACACTTCTAGTCTCCGAAGTGTCTCAATTGCTTAAATAAATCATTTAAAGAAGGACATTAGGCACTCACACAGAGTTAGAAACCTATATCTACTGTTGGATCAGAAGCTCAGTTCATTTAACCACAGTTTAAATGAGTACTGCTTGTATTAAGTCAAGTATTGAAACTCAAACATTCAGATTCAATACAACAACTTATGCTAAAGGCAAAACAAAAACAAATAAAACCAGGGGTAACTGTACTGTCACAATTTCAAAATCTATGCCTGTTAAATGCCTCCAGTTCTTTGGATCACATACACTCATTAACTAAGTTGCGAGACTCATACATGTGGATCAAATCTAAAAGTGAGATGCCTATCTTCCTTTTCTCAACATTAAATTCATTGTCAATACAGCAATATCTTTCAAAATTCAAGCTTGCTCTGGGCAATCAAATACCCTTCATCTCAGAAGAAAACAAAGCATTTAGTCTGATAAAGCTGAGTCTCGATGTACACTTAGCTCTTCTTGCAACATAGGTTTGAATTGGCAGTTCTACACCAGCAAGGAGGATTACCTAGCTTTCTTCACATATATTTTAAAGAAGCTTGATTAGCACAAGCCTTTTAATCCATTTCTTAGAACTGACAATGAAAGAGAGCATTACCTTACTGTACAATAGCCTACACCAGGATATTGCTCCTACCCTTTTTGAACCAGTACAGTTTAATGTCAGCTCTGACAGAACAGACATCAAGCGGTTTGTGCATAGAGAAGAAAAAAGATCTAATGTATTTGTTGATTGTTTTGTTGTTGTTGGTTTTATCCATTTTGTTTTGTTTTTAGAATTGGAGTGGAAGAGCAGTCCTCTTCATTTGAGGGAGGTCAAGATACCAGCGTCATGTTCAGTCTTGAACTACAACAACTACAGAGTATTAAGCACTTACCTGTTGTTCCATTTCACTTGGTGCATCACTTGCAGAAGGACCCATCGCTTCCTTGCTCATGAGCTACAGAAAAAGGCCATGGGAAGGAAAAAAAAAAAAAAAAGGTTAAATAGGAGGCTAATATTCTGAAAATCCACTGTCTACTACTGTATCCCAGCTGTATTTTCTATCACATCCTTATTCCCCTCCAAATCATAAAAACAGATTAATAATAATAAAAATATTCATTGTTGATACAGAATTTGAAGAAAATCTAGAGTAAGATGACTGATCCTCCCCCCCCAAAACTGAAGTGCAAACAGTAACATGTTACTGGATGAATATATTCCTCAGTCAAGTTAAAACAGCAGACCAGAAGACAGGATTTCACCCCACAAATTTAATAGTTATCAAATTTCTTTGTGTCATTGTAAGCTAATAGTCATTAAAAGCAAACAATGGGAACATTAACACAGCTTTCCTTGATCTCTGATACAAAGATGCACATTGTTTGTCAGCAGTTAAAGGGCTTTAGTGCTTACTCAGGAAGTACAGTATTATTTCTCGACCTCCTTCAGAAAGTTTGGTCAGAAAACAACAAATGAGGTGTATGGAATCATTTCTGTAAATAGGATGGATTTTAAAACTATATAGCTCATTTTAATCAGAAAATTTTAAAGTCTAATACTATCTCCATTGTTATCTTGAGGGGGGTGCATTTACACATTAATTTTTCATCTAACGTCAGTATTGTAGTTATTGACTACTTCCACATTTTGCTGAGCATCAGTCCTGACCCTCACAAATGTGACTATGCTCTGAGCTGGATCACTGAGATGATCCAACTAAGAACATAATAAGATGGCAGTGGGAGGGAACCATGACAAAAATAGAAGAGACTCAGCTGGGAGTTTGTACATCAGGAGCTGTCAGAACAGTGCAGCCCCGCAGTTACGATCAGCACAGTCTGGATACAAGACTACAAACAGGGAAGAAATTTCAGATCCAGATTCCAATATAATCAGCAGTTGGCAATTAGATACGTTTCTTAACATTTCTAGATGCACCTCCACAGGTTGTACATTTGGACATGGAACTAAAACCAAGACTATTTGGTTGGAGTCCATTGTCTCCAAATAGTTACGCAATTTCTCAGCTGACTGCACTAAGCTGGGAATCACTTACTTCTTGAATGGCTGTCATGACAACATGCTGAACAGACTCTTCAAGGGTCATGATATTTTGTATGTGTTCTGTGGAAAGTAAGATTTGTAGTGATTAATAACAATGTTCATCTTAATGGTTTGAAAAACTTGACAGCTTTTTAGAAAGATCCAGGAGAAACTGTACTCTAAAAAGCTGCTCCTAAAAAGGTAGTGCTCTTCTCACACAGAGCACTACCATTAACCAACATCACCATAATCTAATAAAACAGTAAGGAATTATAAATTCTTAAGTGAACAAATTTATCCTATGTATAATAGAGAAAGGAGATCAAGACACCCATATTTCCACAGCACTTTTTCTAATACCTACCTATACACATGTAAGTGAATAATTTTTTGCAAAAAGTCAAAACCCTTGCAAGTGACTTAATAAATCAAGTGTAGCAAAAGACATTTACTGCTAGTATCTTCATTCCCAATGCAACCTGACAGCTTACTTCCTATGCACTCTTTGATGCAATCATTCCAGACTACCTAGGAATCAAACCTATTTTATGAATGAAAGCATAGCAAGGACTTTTAAGCCACCAGCTCTTATGAGAGAAAACAAATAAAACTTTAGCCTCTACAGATAAACAAAAGGTAGCTTTTCATTTAATTTGCTTGAGTGGTAGTAGTTGAATAATACGTTTGAAGTCTTTAATCGTATTTTACAAAGTAGGAATAATTCCCCCATGCATATTTGAGACTATTCTGACCCAATCCTGAACAAAGTTTGAGTTTCATACACAAATTTCCATAGGTTTTCTGTTTTTAAGTAAATGCCACTTTCAGATTAGGCATCTGAATGCAACAGAGACATCTTGATACATAAGAAAGATTCCACATGGCTTCCATCTTAAAAATCACCACGTCCTGAGGCAGTCTGCTGTTTGTTCATCAGATTAAGGCAGTACATACCTTGTTTCCTTTCACAGTTGACCGCACAGCCTAAAATAAGCTGCATAAGCCTCCCCAGTTCAGTAGGATCTGATTTCTCAGAAATCTTATTTAAGTCCGGAATAAGTTCTTCTGAAATCTGCTGATCCAAAAACTGAAAAATAATTGAAAAGAGAAGCCGGACTTTTGTTTTTGCTTACCACGAAATCATGAGTCATTTAAGAAATTTTGACAATGAAGAGGCCATTAATAAATTTGTTATGAAAAAACTTGAAAGGAAAAGCTTTTAAACATCAAATGCAGAGATACAAACCAAAAATCCTGGTTTATGAGAGAGCACATATTATTAGACTAGGAAACCTGAAGTGGCCTCGATAAAACAAATGTTCTTAACACTTTTGTTACAGGACTTCATACATGATACAGATGTAACACAAACTATCCTTTTTCGGGGCAAGAAAAAGCAGTTCTAAACTCCCTCTCCTCAACCTGAGTGTGTACTTGGGTAGGGGGTACTCAATGCAGTGCTAGCCAATGTCTTATGAACCTCCGTACCTAATGTTTGCCTCCAATCTAATCAAAAGCAAATGGCATTAAGATATACTGAAATCAGTCAGCAATTATTTATTGTCATGTAGTTATGCACTTTAATAAGAGTTCATTAGAACTGTTCTAGCAAGAACACAAATTTTGAAAGTCTATTAACTGGGGTGTGTCATCTTTGTTATTTTTTTTTTAATGACCATTTGCAGAAGAAAATAAAACAGCAGTAAACTAAAAGATCATATGACAACCCTCAGATATGAGATAATTATTTTCTTCTATCAAGATAACACACACACACATATTCTAAATTCATTTCCTCCCTAATCTTTAGAAAGTTTTTCATCAACCTAAACAAACTCCACTCCTGGGCTTGCCAGAAAACTTCAGTGCTGGCAGTATGGAATGGCTTGGCACTTGATATCACAAGACGTGAAACCAGGAAGCAGTAAGATGATGGAGTAAGATTCTCTGCACCATAACCAGTTAATCATTGTCCATAAAAAATTCAATGCTTTCTATTACTGTTTGTTTTTATTTTTATTTTTTTTAAGTCATGACAAGGCACCCATTTACAGCTACTGTACTTGATCTGCATAAGAGAGAACACCATTATCTTTATCCACAGAATTTGTAATTTATCCCCCAGCTTCTAGATGAATATGAGAAAAACTTGACTAAGGCTATTAAATGTGTTCCCGTTGAATAGGAAAGGATTAAAGCTTTACTTGGAAGGAGCAAAATGAAGGTATACCCAAAAGCCTGCAGGATTCTGTAGTTCAGCACTTCTGCCGCTTGCCCAGGCAGCAGCAGAGAAATGGTTTCCAGATTATACTCCAAGTCTTATCTAAATTATACATGCTTAAGTATGTATATGCATGATACACATAAACATATCCAATTTTATACGATTATACTAATTTTATGTTCATTCAGACCTCTCATTTAACCAGATAATTACTACATATGTCCTAGCCAAAAAGCCCCTCATACACACTACTTAGCTGAGGTGAAAGAGGAAAAAAAGGCCCTAAGTGAAAGAGAAAAACGTATTTATTGATTAGAACAATCAGAATTCCATACCTCATGATAGTAGTCCATAATCCCTTGCAGTATTTTCTTCAGATTACTGGACTAATTGTTGTACATGGAAGATAAGGTTACAGGTTTTTATTAATCTATTATTTAAGTACAGTAAAATCAATAATTTTTACAATCAAATGTTTATAAAGCAGCTCTGGAAGAGGACCACAATGACAGAGGAAGAGAAATATCACAACAGAAAATCCCCATGCACCAATTCCAGAAGTCACTCAAACTATTAACAAACAGTTCAAGTACGTTCAAAGTAACCTTAACAAGCCTGAGCTTAATTCTGATCCGTAGGTTTTGGACTGCCAGGCAGGCTCAGGAGAGACACCAGATCTACATTCACAAAACTTTTTTTAATCAGAGTTTTTAATACCTTTATCCTCCAGTTGTCACCAACATCTTCTTTAATGCGATTTAGCCAAGATGCATCAAACCAAGCAACATCTCTGAAATGAAATTAAACGATTGAAGCATTAATAAGCACACATGTAAATAAATAAGGCACCAGATTCTCAGCATTAAATCATCATGAATTAACCAGGGTCTTTAATGAAGCAAGAACTCCAGGAGATTGCATGTTATACTCATGTCATAGGAAATATCCATCCTTCTGGCTGAATTAAGATGGCATCTTCCCAGGCAGAAAGAATTTCTGTACATGTTTGAGCCATCTAGACCTGGAAATACAAGTAGGCAAAGGCCTTTGTCACGCTCAGTTACTACACCTACCAAAGCTGTCACAGTGCTGTACAGAAATGTCATCACTTGGAAAGTGCTGTCATTAAATTTGCTACATACTTTTGTACATTTGGACTTTTCACAGCATTCACTGCAACTATTCAAAGGCACTTATCAAGGAAAAAAAAAACAGACATTTTATCTACTTTCATTTTATAGTAGTAGTTTTTGTTTGTTTGTTTTCTACCTCTGTTTAGACAGAACTATATTCACTTTCACCAGCAGAAATGAGTTGTTGGCAGAGGAGTTTATACACTCTAAGCTGCAAAGAGTTACAATCACATCATATCTAACTATATCTCAACCTATACACAGCATTGTTTATCCACTGATATCAAAGAACCTAATAAAAGACAGATATTATCCCCACTTACTATTCACTAACTTGCTTATAAATAAAATTGACCAAGGCCTCTACAACCCTAGCATCACAAAACACACAGTAAGCCAGTGTTCTGGCCATTATGCTACATTGCTGCTACAGATCTTTGCTTGTAGGAGTGCTGATTATTTCTTATTCTCTGATCCTGACATGGCTGTCTGACTGACACACTGGTTTAGCAATAGTGGCATCCTACAGGGACATCGAGCTAAGTAACAGCGACAAGCAGAGCTTGTTAACACACACAGCACAAAGGTGCTGGGAAGTGACCCTCAGCAAATCTTCGCTAGGCAACCCCACACCATTTGTTGTAGACCTCATGAAAAGGGTGAGCTGTGTTTACACAACACTCTTCAAGATCTGTAAAAATAAACCTTTTTAGGTTGACAAGTAATTTCTTAATAATCAAAAATATAGTTTGTGTAAGAGATGATAATTCAGACCTCTCCTTTATTATTGGAATCACCACCAAAACTGCAGTGATAACTAGTTTCTATAAACGCCTCATGTCAGAATCCTCTCTGAGGAGACTTCAAGTTCGAAAATTAACAGGTCACTCAATTGAGCTCTGTTTGTCATCATGCCAGCACAACTGCAATGATTTTGCTGCTCATCAGCCCACTACCACTCCTTTAAGTAGCAATGGACCAGTGCCTTTTGAACTTTTAGTTCCTTATTCCCTAGAGGAATAGCCCTAAACTATGGGTATCCACAGTAGAAATACTACTGATAAGAAAATTGAAAAAGATCGTACTTTTTGCCTTATTATTCCTAAGTATAAATTTAATAATACAGTATCAGAATATCTCCTCATCCCCTTCTCCTTTCTATCACCTTATTATACCACTATATTTTTGTTCAGGGGATGATTTAAAGACACGCTTCATTTTCTGCTACAAGCTGAAATTGCTCTGAATTTATAACTATACAATAAACCTCTGGGTGGGAAAGTGACTTACATACACAAGCCTCAAGAAAATAAATACCTGTTCTTTGAACTTATGTATCAACTTACATTTGATGAAGCACCTGAGCCATGGCAACGCCATTGGTCAAATCCTGAACATTTCTGCAAGGTGCAGCAGTGTTGAACGTCTGCAACTAGAAGAGTGAAAGAGATCACATTTGTTAGTCAGTGGACAGAAGGACACAACATTAGTTACCAATTTCCTTTTCCTTCGTTAGGAAAGAGGCCCTTCTATATACTTTTCAGACTGTTCCCTTCTTTTGTGGGCAGTCTGAAATCTTTTTTGAATGATGTAGATTTTAACCTAATTACCTCAGTATTTATAGCTGTTGATTACAACTTGTACCTTAAAAGTTTGCATTGCCATGCTTTGTTTTTTCATACTAGTGCTTTTATTATAAATCAGATTATAGATAGCTAATTTGGGAAACTAAAGGTCACATTCATCCACCCCTCAGATTATGTTGGAACACTTAATTGTGGACACATATTGCCTCAAGAAAAATTGGCATCAGACTGGAAGCGAATACTGAATAAGATAAAAATAATCCAGCCTTTTATAGATGCATTTTCTAACAGAAGTCGCAGCACAAATACGGTGTCCTGAGATTATTTGGTGATTAAGAACGAAAGGGAGAAAATTATGCAAAAACATTGGAAAATGCAGTTATCTGAGAGCTACCACACACTTGGAGGATATGAAGATGACTGAGACAAACTGAAGCATTTGAAGCAGTGCAAACTAGCAATATATTTATTTCCTTGCAACACAGGAATTCAAACGTCAGGCTACAGATGTTCTTATTAAAATGTGCAATTACAAAATACTGTTACACAGAATAAATTTCTACTGCAAAATCTACTATACATCTTCTCCTCGAAATGATATTTACAGCTAAAATAGGTTTATATTTCCTGGTACTTTCCAAGCATCGCACTACCTCGTGCATCCAACCACGTTTAAGCAAGTTACCTCCTCTACATATTTCTACCTGAAGATTAAGCAACAAAGCCCCAGTTTTCACTCGTCACCTCTATTAGAAAACCAGATTACAGATGGAAGTTCTTTATAGGAAGTTTACCAATCTATTCTATATGAATTATTCAATCTGATCCTTGTGTTCTAGCTGCTGCTTCTAGGCACAAGTATAAATACAGTCCCTTTGTGCAAGGACTACACAAACAAGATTCAGCTCCCATCCTGACCATTCAAATTTTACAGCTGAACTCAAAGAAAGAACAATTTCAACACTTCTACGTTGTTACAGAGCACTGCAATGAGCATTTGCTTGTCAGACTGCTATACATATAGTAACTAACTATCCCATCAGTTTGAGGCAGCATCTATAAAACCAGCATCACACATCCACAGGATGCTCTTTTGTCAGGCTATCTACTAAGCTCTGCATCCAATAGTAACAGTTTCAAGCTATAAAGCCTTAAAACAGAGGTACCCATGTTCTCAAGTCACACCACATCAGCAAAAAGTTTCTAAAACTGCTCACTTAAGCCCAGAGGGGGGAGAAACAAACAAACAGAATTTTTTATTCATTTATTTTTCAATTTCAAAAGTCTGCTGAAAATCCTGTATTAAAGCAAGCAAGAAGTCAGTAATCCTTGCAGGTTACATAAAAGATTAAGCAGAAAACAAACCGAAGCAGCAGTGATTGACAGCACTGCTTTCTAATAGCGTAGCAGCTTTCATGTCAACACAGGAGCAGACATAAGCTCACACGTCAAGACTCAGCACGCCAGAATTCAGGGCTTTATGGCACAATACTTCAGTGCTGCCTTGGATACACACCCTTGTAAACCAAATAAATTGCTAAGCAATGTAACAGGTTCTGTCATTTTAGTTCTATGACCAAGGCCACCCAATTCTGCAAAAGCTGAGCAAATAGCTTTGGAAATCCTTGTGGTGTGCAGCTGCTTTATGTATGCTGCTATCTAGTGGAATAAAACAGCTCATTAAGATTAAGCAAAAAGCAAGAGCAAGAGTTTTAGTCTCTCTGCACATTTGAAAGTTTTTTAAGAGTCTACAAACAATATGATAGTAGGGGTATTAATTACAGATTCTCCAAACCCCATGCCAATGCAGTCATTTCCTCTGAGTGTTTTTTCTGTATTTACAAAACCAACATTATTTGGGAGCACAGGGAGGAGGTTGGTAGAAGCAGCTGTAGATTTTTAGTCTGCACCATTACTAATTTTTTCAAGTTTGATTAGTTTTTCTAAATGTAGCCTCAAGGACACGCTGCTACTCAAGCTAAAGACCATTTCAGGAGCCTGGCTTAAACAACCACCCCATTTATTACTAGATCAGGAGCAGTTATCTTTCTCATAGGCATACACTATGACTATACACAGCCATAGGGACATTAACATTACAAATGCTGCCAGTGCCATAAAGCACCGAAGTAAAAGCACATCTGTTGTAAAAAAAAAAAAAAAAGCCTTCTGTCTCCATGCTGCCGTACCAGAACTGGGAAGGACGACTTAGCTCCACCAGGCTTTTAAACTCCTTCCTTTTAGAGACAGTTTTAAAACACTGTTTTCCTCCTGCATCTTCTGATTTGCATACGTAAAGCTTTGGATTATGCACTCTCAAATCAGATATCTAAAAGATACTTTAAGAAGGAGACCATAACCAAGCAGAAGCAAGGTTCTCCTGTAAACAAACCAGTTCAGTAGGTTTTCATACCAGCGGCTGAAAGAAGTTTTGTCAGTGACTTCTGTACAAACAAGATCAAGCCTTTACCGTGACATGATTTTTATTAAGCTTTGGACACAAAAAGATTCAATTAACAAGTGTCACATCTGTCACCTGCACCTCATTTCACATAATTCAGCTCTGATTTTAGATGAGGAGTGCAAATGCAAAATGAACTGTGGGAGGAAAACTGATTCTAAGACACGCTGTACTTCAATCCCCACGTGCATTCCCTATTCACTTTCCTCCCCCTTTTATTAATTAACAGTGACATCAGATGACACACACCAAACACACATACGCTCTAACACTGCAACATACACACACACATATATTTAAAGGCCAGTGTGCACAAATCCCTCACAAATACATTCAAGGCGTTACAGTTCTCTGGCCATACACCTACAGAGGATCTGTTATGCAGAAGTGACCCATATGTAGGGAGGTTTATCTTAACACTGCTCCAGTTTGGAGACGAAAACAGCAGAAAACTCTGAGAGGTACAATACCAGAACATACTTTACAGAGAGAGTGGTGAGGTACTGGAACAGACTGCCCAGAGAGGTTGTGGATGCCCCATCCCTGGAGGTGTTCAAGGCCAGATTGGATGGGGCCCTGGGCAGCCTGGTCTAGCATTAGGTGGGAAGTTTGGTGGCAGGGAGGTTGGAGATTCATGATCCTTGAGGTCCCTTCCAACCCTGGCAATTCTGTGATTCTGTGATCCCCAGCTGTACTGACAGAGCTCCTACCATGCCACTCATAGAATCACAGAACAGCCTGTGTTGAAAAGGACCACAATGATCACCTGGTTTCCACTCCCTGCTATGCGCAGGGTCACCAATCACCAGACCAGGCTGCCCAGAGCCACATCCAGCCTGGCCTTAAATGCCTCCAGGGATGGGGCATCCACTCTTACCCAGAGTTGACTTCACATGCAGAAACAATTTTATCTTCTTCACTTAGAAAATTGATTCTGCAGTGGACTGGTGAGTTCTTAACACAACACAATCTTAACACATATTACTTAAGTTAATATTTCTTAGGAACTCGTGCACATCCCTTGTGTGGTTTAATGCAGCTTTATTACATTTTTCTGTAATGTCATCAAAACATTCAACTCAACGACACCCACGTTACAAAACTATCGGGTAGCATTTTTAGGCAGTGAATGTTTCCTACTATAAAATGTGCCCAAATTGTCGGGAAAAAAGCCAGGGAGATACAGCAGCAGAACACAAAGTCATAAGCAAGGTGACCAGGCTTTTGCTGTACTGCCAAATAAACAAACGCAAACTTTTATTACTACAGAGACCTGCAGACCCTTCTCAGACGACTCCTCCACGTCGCCTCAGGATTCCCTTTGAGCCCCAGCTGGATACTGCGGCCATACTAAACAATTAGGCACAAAAGAAACTTTCGAAAGAACAAACTGAACGAAGCTGCAGGGTTTCAGCTCCTGATGATGCTCACTGTTAATTACAGAGCGGTTTCCACACTGGAGAACCACTGCTCGGGCCCACAGGACATTCACCACACCGCCTCCACAGGGCTATTTCTGACAGAACGTTTTCCCGTCGTCAAGCACCGTCTCATGACGCAGGCCCGGATCCCACAGCCCGCCCCCCCCCCGCTCCCTCACAGCCCCTCAGCCCCCGGCCCGCCCTCCGTCACCGCGGCAACGGCGGGAACCCAACAGGTGCCCGCGCGGCCCTGCCGGAACGGGCCCTCCCGCGCCACTCACCCACAGGATGAGGCTGTCGCAGAGCAGCGGGTCCGCCGCCTTCGCCTCCATGGCGTCAGCCTCCTCTCGGCGCCCGCCGCCTCCGCTCAGCGCGGCTGCGTAAGCATCCGATGCGCGGAGCGCGCTTACGGCGGGAACCGCGCGCGGCTGACGTGACGGCGCCCGCCACGCGCCCACCTCCGCGCAAAGGGACGGACGGCGCTCTCCGCACGTACACGTCAGCGCCCGCCCCCGCCTTCAAACGTCGGGAGTGGCAGAGGGTACAACCAATCAGCGGGCAGGGCTGCCGCTCCTCATACCAATCACGGGGGAGTATTCGCGTGGGCGGGGTTACTCCGCTCGGCGGCGGTTTACCTCAGCGGTCGGTTGCGGCGGGTGTGTGGGTAGGGCGTGGATGTGCGGCCGTTCGGTGGCAGGTGACGCACCTGATCGACACCGTGGGCCGCAACACGATGGTGACGGCTCCCAACCTCCTTCCACGGGCCCTGCAGCTCCGCCACAACATGGCAGCCGCCGCCAAAACCGCCCGGTACCACAGGGAGCTGCTGGCGTGGCTCAGGGCTGCGTGTGATCAAGTCGTAGGTAGGTCGGCCCGTCTGCTCCAGCCTCACCGCTGCTTTCAGGGCAGAAATGCTTAGAATACAGAATCCGTTTTAAAACTCCCTTCTGAAATACCTGTGAATAAAGCTCTCAGAATTCCTTCACGGCGCTCCAGTGACTATCCCCTAAGATATCAGATACATTTTCGGCTGTTTTTTAATATATGCACTTTACTCCTCCGTTATTGATTCTTTTTTGGCAGGTTAAAATCGTGGTGGGTGACCTTCCCCTCCTAAAGCCATCCAGCAACACAAAAGGCTCGTTTAAAACAGGCTTTCTTGTTTGTTTTCACGTTAGTTTGGCTTTTTAAACAGTGAAGACTCACAGACTTCTGCACTTTGTACTGCTGAGAGCATTTGTTTTCCTATTTGTTTTATTGTATTATTTGTTTTTATTTTTTAACTTGCCCATCAGGCTTCATCATTTAGCTACTATTCCTTCCTCCTGGTATTTTATGTCACTCCCTTTGTGGGAATACTGCACCACGTCAATACTCACCCCTTTATGCAGTACCCCACTCAATTCCCACACGTGTATCAATCTCCACACCCTCCTGTTCATTTCACATACACTCCTACACATTCAACATCTCACACAGTTTCTTAATATGGTTTCTGCAGGCAGCTCCTCTTTCCTGGATTTACATTATACGTGCCAATGAATGCCAGAAGCCACCAGCTGCTTTCCAGGGAACACAAAGACAAGAGCAAGCCAGCCCCATGCCCAGTACTTAAACAGGGCAGATAAGCTGAGCAGGTTCATCAGCCATGAGTGCAGGTGTTAAGGCAAGTCCACAGAGCTGAGGCAAGTACACCGTACCTCGTGATGATGAGACAGTTATAGAAGCCAGGAAGGCAACCCACTGCTCAGGGTCAGGCACAGTCCCGTGATCAGCACAGTGATGAAATAGTTTTGAGGTCAATCTGGGAATTCATTCCACAGGTCACAGTCCAGGCCAGTGAAGTCCATAGCTATGCATAGCCGTAACTGAGCTGAAGGCCCAGGGCTGAGTTTAAATAGAATTCCTGGTCCCATGGGCAGAGGGTATGGAGAAAGGAACCAGGTGAGGCCTCTAAGGCCTGTTACTGCACTCAAGGCCCTGACAACACGCTCTACTTTCAGCGGGGTCATCTCCCATAAATACAGAAAATACTGCAGAGAATACTTTTCCTCTAGAGGGCTGTATAGTACAGACAGAAAGGAAGCGTCTGATTCTACCAAGGTCTAATAGGTGGCTTCTCATTCAGAAGTATCAAAAAATTATTCATATGGGATGGCTATACTGGAAAGGAAATACAGACTGTATGTAGTACAGGGAGGTTGGTTGAAATCTGTAGGACAGATGCTAATTGCAAAGAAAAAGCAAAATGTACAGGTTCGGTAATCTGGGATTGTATCAGAAGAGATTGGCTCCCCCTTACTTTGTGGCTATTGTGCCCTCTTCAAATGTCTGACTATGATGGAGCACTCACTGAAATAACAGTGTTTCCAAGGAACGTTACACTTAAACCATAAGGAATTGTGCAGAGAACTGCAATACAAATTTGTGTAATTTTGTATCTTCCCAGTTGCAGCTGTACCAGGGCATGTTACAAACTCCACAGCCAGAGCAAGCCATGCTCAGCGTTCAGTGATGGAGTAGATGTAGTAGTAAGAAGGGGAAGCTGTTTAAGTTATGCAAAGTTGAGGTGGTTAGGTTTTATTTTTAAATCCTAGCTGGAATTTTCTTTGCAACCTTCAGCACACTTGAAAAACTGTCAGTAAATTCTGGTTTTGTGCCAATCAAGACAAGAGACTACAACCTGTAATAACATTCCAATCTAGTTTGGCACCTCACACCAGTACTGTAGTTCAGTCTCGTGACATCTTACATCTGCTATTACCCACATTTTAGTCAAGATAAAGAATTACTTCTTGTAATAGGAACTTACTTAAAACATGTTCACTCTCCTTGATGCTTCCTTTGCTTTCTTGACAGGAATATCTGACAGTCTTTTTTAATAAGGGCTGTCCACTTTTTAACAGTAAAGAATGGCATTTACTACAGTAATTTTAATTGATAGACAAATAAAACCTTTGATTTTCAATAGAATTTACAGTATCTCCAATAACTTGAATGTTTAGTTTGGACAGTATGTCTTGGTGATCTGCATGGCAAATAAGCATATCTCTTGTGGTTTAACAGATATTCTTGTTCTTGCTCAAAAATCCTCACTTAAAGGACTACATCTAGGACAGTTTTTTTTTAAGCACTTGAAAACAGAGACACTGGAATGAAAAACAGTGACACTTGGTGGCTAGTTATGTAACATGCACATTCCTAGCCATTAGAATACATGAAATGAAAAAAATCTCAGCTTTTCTATCATATTTAGTGGCTTGACAGACACAATTTATGGAAGTATGCACTTCCCTACTGTAATGCTACAATAGGATAATAGCAGGGTGACAAAGTCTTTGGCTACAGCAAGGATGCAGAAATGAAAAGAGCTGCTTACCTACAGAAGGCCTCAGGTAGGCAGGGATCCCTGTAGGAGAGGTGCCCTCACCTCCACTGCCAACCCTTAAATGAGGTCTAGAAAGGGGTAGATCTTGACTACACTCCTTCCTATCACTCAGATACATTGTATGCATCTGAGCTCCCCTGTGTTGGCTCTGCCTTCCCACCGGATGCTCTATCACTGGTTCAGGCCATGACTTAGTATTTGCACTACACCTACCATCTTTCAAAGGCTTCAGAAACATTGAATAAGCTTCTTGATATCCCATGGAGCGAAGGCATATTTCAATGTTTCAGATTAGTTATATTTTTTGCATCTATTACCAAAATGCATGCATTTAGTAATTACAAAATACAAAGTGATCTGTCAATCTTGATGCCTATTGTATTTCTTGGGCCACGTGTCTCTTCATGTCCTGTCATAGTTTTTCTGGTATATATACCCTGCTGCCTTCTCAATCAAGCTCTCTTTATAATGGAAATTTTCAGTATTTTCATTAAAAAAAGCACTGCTCTCTGTTTATCCTCAAGATGTGGCCAGTTTAGAAGCTAGTATAATAAACATATATATTCAGCATAACTGAACACCTAAAAATCATAGAGTATGAAGAAAATGCACATTATTCTAATGTAAACTCATTGGACTGACTGAAAATTTTCATCAGTACCTTGCTGGTCTTGCACAGGTATGTGTCCTGATTGCTCAATAAACAGAACTGCAGGTCACTGGCACACAGTGCTGTGTGTCTTGTGATCACTGCTGTACCCCCAAGGCCTAATAGTTTGTTATAAAGTTACCAAAGAGACCTATGTCAGCTGGAATAGTCATACCAATCTATTGCTCACTCCTCTGGGACACTGGTTTAGGGAATGGGAAAACAGCTAATTTCATTACTGCTTTCCAGTCTCACCACTAATTGCATTTTACACGAGTAGCAACTCCCAGAGAAAGGGAGGTACAGAGACAACCTTACCATGTCTGGCTTACTTCCTTATTTCTAGCTGGGAAAAAAAAAACAAAAAAACAAAAAAACAAAAAAAAAAAACAAAAACATTCAGAGGAGATTAAAAGAAGGAAAAAACAAAACCAAATCAAATAGAAACTGTACAAAGAGGAAGTACTGATGACTGAAATGCTGACCTGAGTAGCCAACCATTGAAGCTACAGGTCTATACACTTGTATGACTTCTGGTGAGGTCAGGAGGTTCTGATATCTGTGACTCCCTTACCAGGGGAAGGAAGATACACAGTATGGACCTTATGCCTGTTTTGCTGATGATACAGTTAACCAGCATGACTGACTATTATGCTACTATGTTGATGTATCTCAGGTGTTTGAAGAATTCTGGATGTTTTAAGTATTTCTTAAATTTAATATTTTTTTATGAGAGTATATTCTTCAAAGGAGGCTCGTATTTGAATTTTTCTGAAAGGTAGATATATTTCCACATGGAGTAAGTGCCTTTCAAATATTTTCATATTTGTTGGAAATACTTTCTCCACTTGAGGCCCTTTCCTTTGAATTTCCTTGAATTTCTTTTCTCATTTCTCTCTCGCAGTGGGAGAGATGAGAGGAAGTTCACTTTGCAGGTCAAAAAAACAAGGAAGATTATACTATTCCTTGACAACCTTACATGATCACTCCTTAAAAGAAATAGAAAAGATGAGTGTAGTGAGTGACAGATAATACCTGCTTTAGTGTTCCATAATTCCCAAGCAAAGAGTGGTTGAAAAGGCATGGAGATAATGCCACAGAAACAGAAGTCCTGATATCTTCCAAAATTCCATAAAAAACTACTCTGGGAACAAAGTCAGAGGAAAACTAATTGCATCTTTGGCTTCATACAGAAGGAGAAAAAAATGGCTAAGATATTTAAGGAATGGTCTACCTCCATCTTCCCAGGAAGTTATCTCAGAATGAGGAGCTGTCACGAGCAGCAACACCAGCAGAATGAAGTATTTACACCTCTGTAACATTATTACTTCCCAATGGGACCTCACTTTTTCGTTGTAGCCTCCCTTCCTACCATGCTCTCTACCTTCCTCAGCTGTTTTCCTAACATTTGTCAAT